AGAGTCAGACCTTTTTCCCTAGGCTCTTCTGAGAAGCTGGAAGCAGGAGAGGCTCTGGAGTGTGGAGGTGACATTGTTAACCATAGTGCTGGCCTCTGTGAGGGGTCACAGTCCAAATGCCAGATGGTCAAAAGGGTCTGAGAATTCAAGTTCTATCCAAGTGTTTTTATTGTTTCTGGGAAGACACTCAGCTTAGGAGCTGTTGAGTGTCAGTAGGAGGAATTTGGTGCTGAGGCTCAGAGACAGGTGATCACAGCTCTCTGCAAAGCCACATATGACATCTGTGGGTGTGGGGAGCAGAGTTGCCTTTGATGGGAGGGGCAGGGACAGGGTGACAAACTGTGCCAGTTTGCCTGGAATTGAGGGACTCTTGGGATGTTGGGATTTCAGTGGTAAAACCAGAGAAGTCCTGGACAAACCAGAACAAGTTGTATCCCCTGGGCAAGCAGGGGTCATCAGGGCTCTGTCTGAGTAAGAGAGGTTCAAGCTTTGGGACTGGTTAGGTCTTAAGGTATCAACTTTCTTCTGAAAGGAAAGGAGCAAATTAAAAGCCAAAACAAACAAAACAAAAAACAACGTGCATACACACCAGCTTATCAAAGACAACTTCCCACTTGCAAACTTCTCTGACATATGGAGCCCTTGTTTTTGCTGACAGTAGCCATTTCTGAGTTATTCCTCAGTTTAAGGAATTTCTTGCCCTTTCTTCTCCTTGGGGTTCCTGGTGGTAGAATTGAGGCTCCAGGTCTGCTGTCTGGGAAGGGCTCATGCTCAGACCTGTGTACGTGTCACATGGCCATCGGGAGGCAGAGACTCAAGGTGTGTCCTCAGTCAGCTACTTAGATTAAGAATAGACTTGGGGCAATCAGACACATTCCAACTGTCCCCAGCAGCTGTCCTGGAGCCTATGGAGGTGCTGTTTGTTTTGGAACCAGTCAGGTTTAGGCTGAAGGTTCAAAGATCCAGTATCTCTGGCTGGTGGAAGCTGGAGAGAAAAGATCAACTTTAAGGTCCCTGGCTCCTGCCAACCCAGTTCCTCCCCATGAGAGGTCTGTGCTCTGTGCTCTGTTCGGTGTTCAGGAGCAAGCTGGAGATCATAAGAACTCAGCCCCCTCACCCCGTTTAATGTACACACTGTTTAAACATCTTACCATTGGCAGAGGAAATTATCTTGTTTTGTTCTTGGGAGAACAATTCTGGAACTGTACTTCAAGTACAGTGAGATTAGTTTTCTGAAAAACATGGTATTTGTCTGATGCAATCCTGACACCCTCTAAGAGGAGCAGCTGTCAGTGTTCATGCCCACACATGTTGGAGATGTTATCTTTTGCCATCAGGATCAAAGTGTTTGTTATGTCAGATATGATAAAAGTCAATATTTGCTTTCATGGTTTGCCTTGGCACCCAATATTCTGCATTTTAAAAAGAGGGCAAGATGGTTGAATTAAGGATAAAATTACACACTTTGAGATTTGCTTTTAAATCACCTCTGTAGATGTAGGATTCTATTAAGAGGTTTAATAGGATTTTTTGACTTTCTTCTCTAGTAGAAGGATACAGGAAGACTTCATCTTAATATCACACTCCACCCATGTGTATGCATACCCAGCAGTCTCCATACTTCTTCACCCAGTTTTAATTCAGGCAATTTTAAAAAAAATGATAGTGTTTAGGTTCCTAAGCTGTTTTTCCATAACCTTGGTTCTCTTGAACTGTTACAGTGGCTCTATAGCATAGCTCTCAAAGAGTGAATAACTGGATAGTTTCTTGGCTTTTTGTTGTTGTTGTTAAGGCAAATGTGGAACTTGTGATCCTCCTGCCTCAGCCTCCTGATTCTCTGGGAATACAGTTGTGTGCCTCCAATTCTGGCTATATTTTAAGCTATTATGTTTTACTGTATTTATTTTTCAAGCTATTATGTTTTAACGTATTTTTAATTGACGCATTGTAGTTGTACATAATGGTGGGATTTATTTTTACCAATTTGTGCATGCACACAACAATATAATTTGGCCTGTCTCTGTTATGTTCTTCACTATCATGGGTCAACATTAGGGTTTTGCTTTGGACTTCCTGTATTGTGGTGATATAGGCTGTGTGTGAAATGTGCAACTGTTGAGTGAACCCTTCTCCCTTTGTTTACTGCCCACTAAAATATCAGCTACTGAAAATAATGTTTGTGTTTTAGTGGTGGGATATAATAATATCACATTATGGATATTAATAATGTGCCCTCCCCAGAATCGCAGGTATACAAACAGTGCAGGTGTTGATGAGTTTTCTTGCCCCTGGAGTGAAGCCTCCAGTCAAGCAGCAGAGCATGTGTGTGTGTATGCACACGTGCACTTTGTATGGACATGTGTGCGCATTTATGTGTACTATGTTTTGGAATTAACTAACTATAGGCCATGAAATTTCATACTGTATTTAATCAATTCAATAACCAGTTTAGACAGGTCCAAACATTCTTAGAGGGAACTAAGGCAAATACCTTGCATGTATAGATCACTTAATATATGAACAAGTAGGTGGATCCTAGTTTCTTGGAAATTTGGGTGGGGTGATATCTGCATTAGTGAACACAGAAATAGCTCCACCAAAGACACAATTCATGGTAAATTCAATTATTGTAATAATCTGAAAATGGGGACTAGTCACCCTTTTAACCTACTCCCAACCCCATCACTGTGTTAGTCTAATTTTCTGCTATGTTCCATCCCCAATGGACTCATGTCTGGCTTTATGGAAAAGCTCCTTAAGTTATTACATAATGGCTTCTATAAAATAAAAGCTCTCCACTCTAGAAAAAATTTAATAATCTTATAACAAGTAAGCCCATGTTTTATAATACTGTGTCAGTAAGAATAAGCATATATAAAGTAGTTCAAACCATTTCTCAGCTTACAAATGGGTTTTTCATATCCTCAGACACTAAGAAGTGCAATTGTAGATGAAGGGAATGGAAGGGGAGACAGGAAAAAAGAAAAAAAAAACATCCCAGACATTAACACAGACACACCAGAAAATATAATCTCTTTCCTGAATAATCTGTTAAAATGTATCAGATTCAGAAGCTGATACAACAAATAGCCCCAATAAAATTTCTGTCTCTATATAATAACAGTCTGTATTTTCATCAGAGACATTTATAATGTGATAGCTTGCTTCACATTACTTTAAGTACTTTATAACTCATTTATAATGTGATAGCTTGCTTCACATTACTTTAAGTACTTTGATAAGCTGAAAATTCACCTCTGAAAGTTTGGGTAAAGCTGCATTTATGCATTTTATATATAAAATTTTCAAACTCAAAACCAAAATCTTAACAAAAGTATTATGTGCATATAATTATTATACATTTTCTTTGCTAAGTGCAAAATTAAGTTTTCTTTTAAAATGTATCAGCTGAAATACAAAGAAACAAGCTATTGATGCAAGCAGCAACTTGTATGGATCTTAGGCTGTTATGTGGAGTGAGAAAAGCCAGTTTGAAAAGGTACATACTGAATGGTTCCACTTATCTAGCATTCTCAAAATGACAAAATTATAGAGATGGAAAACAGATCAATGGGTCGGGGATAGGGAAGGAAGGGGAGGACGGTATGATTACAAAGGGACAGCCCCAGGCAGTTTCTTGATGGTGATGGAGTGGTTCCTTATGTGACTGTAGTGATGATTATATGAATCTACACATGATAACACATCATAGAACTGTACACAAAAACATACACAAGAAAAATGAATGCATGCAAAACTGGCTGTCTGTACCCTGTTACTGTCCTAATTTTGCTAATGTACTTTTGTTATGTAAGATGTTACCATGGGGGGTGGGGGGGTGATTGATGGGTATACAAGACTTAGCTGTACTATTTTTGCAACTTATTGTGAGTCTATAATTATTTCAAAATATAAATGTCTTAGATGTATGTGAAGAAAGGATTCCAGCTACTAATTAAACATACTTAGGAAGCAATTTAGACAAAGACTGGTGTCCTTTGTGGAGGGAGGGTTTTTAGATATGAACGCTGACAACTCTTGACCTACCATGTGCTTAGTATCCAGGTTGCAACTTTTAAGCTGTGTAATTGAAAACAATGACTGTTTTCATCACTTCTTTAAAGTTGTAGAATCAGGAAATTTTAGAGCAAGCAGAGACCTCACAGAGAATGTGGGCCAAGCTCTCAGTTTACACCTCTCTGGGTTTTTGGTATCCTCATTGGTAACTTGAGGGCTTTGTCCTAGTTTCTTTGTTAGTGTCCGGCCTAGTTCTAATTCTCTAATCCACAATTTTCTTATATAAACTACAGAAACTTTAATGGCTATCTTGTAGATTCTGTCATAGTATTTACTGAGACAAAACATTTCATGTTATGTTGATGACAAACATGAATGCAGAAACAGCCTGTTTATTACATAATAACATCATCTCAAATATTAAAAACAACTGGAGAGCAATCTAACTAGGCTAATTTTTCATGCTTAGCTAAGGTTATAATTTTCCAGGACAGAGAGTCTGGGCAGTTTCCCTGAGATGATTTATAATCACATCTTCCTTGTACAAATCATAGTACTTGCACCCATGAGTATTTGTACAGAGGGGAGGCTTATGTCAGTCAGTGTTACCCTTGACTGCCCAACAGACCTGCTAACTCAATCCTGATGAGATTCTGGCCAAGCAAATACTAAAGCTCAGGAAGCTTGAGAGTGGCTGCTATAATCTGGGTATAAATGAAGATATGCTCTCCACTAACCAAAAGAACTTAAGCTTCCTTACTTGAGATCTCAAGTACTTTTTTTCATGGAATGCTAAAAAGCGGCTGTCTTGGGAAACTGAGTCCACTGTAGAAATAAGGTCAGAATCCTAGGCTGCTCCTTACCTTCTGATAGCAGATACAGACAAAGCCACCTTTTAGTAACACTGTGGTTTTTGGTATTGATTATCCTTCAGTCTACAATAATATAGTCTTTCAAACAAAAACAAAAACAAAATTAGCAACTCACAGCATTAATAGAATAATTTTATTAACAAAAAGAACCCATGGGGTTCAAGCAAGAATACAAAATACAATCTTTAGTTTTTTTTCCTGTGGGTTAAACTGTTATATTTTTAATAAAAAATAAAAAAAAAAGCTTTCATAGTTAACTTATCAAAAACATAACCCCTGCCTACTGAGTTTCTTATTGTGCAAAACAGAAACATATATACACAAATAGTTTTGCCAAGGGAAGGATTTTGTGTGCCAAAAGATGCACATTTTAAATTTTTGCATCAAAAACAAAATTCTAAGGCCACTTTTTTTTTTTTAAAACTAAAGAACAAGAAGGGAATAAACAGACAAATAATAGCAGCTAAATTTTTATCTTCATTTGTAGGTTTTCTCTGTTCCAATGTAGTTTTCAGTATTCATATTTTGATTATGAAAAGGTATGCAGTTTGAACCTACAGCTGCTTAAGGTCAGGTAGACCAGTATCAAGTCACACTTCTGATTTATTTTCTTAATGCTACAAAATTGTTTCAATTTTTCAGGGGGACTTTGTGATTTCTCTAATCAAGGAGATAAAACAATCCTACTGAAGGATTCCGTTAAGTGGTTGCTTTTCTACATGGAGCCAAATAACTCAACTCTCTCTCTCTCTGTCCATACAGTTTCCCTTTGTTTTGGTTTTGTGGAGATGGACAATGTCTAGACATGGCATGTAAACTTCAGCTTAGAAGTCAATAAACAGCTGAAAATGATCTTTCTCAAGTAAAAATAAAGCTGTTTGGACAGCACTCAAATACACAAACCTGCTTAAAGACACACAAAACAAAACATTAAAAATAATCTCTAAAAACCAAAGCAAGGATTAAAGTTTTGTGACAAATATAGTACCACAATTACTCATATAACAGTTTTGCATTATGATTTTAAACAGTGACTTGTCATGAAACAAGTGTGTTTGATGGTTACATGATTACAGAGAAGAGAGGTATCTGAGAAGGGTGAAAAGCGCACATTTACCTAATGTTTGTAGAAAATCCCTGATCAAATGTCTGACTGATTTCTAAATACAAAATTTAACCATAGTAGAATTTTTCTATTTCTAAGTGAACATACTGATTTAAAGATAAGTTAATCATTTTATTGAATGAAGTACAGTATCATGCCTGGGAAGCACCAGGGTTTCTCGATCAAACCCTTAAGACTTGGCTGGTCCACAATCTCTATCATGGGAATCCCTATCTCCCTTCCAATGAGTGTCCAGAAATGTTCTCAGCTCACAGAACCAACAGACTGAAGGAAAAGCAGGTGAGTATGTGACCATGCACAGGAGGGGACAGGGGGACAGTGAAAACACTGCTCAAACATTTAGCAGCAACATAATCCTGTTGGTCTGAAAATCCTGAGATTAACTGACAATAAAATATTGCACCAAAACAATAAAGAAAATCACAGTTTAAATAGTTGCTGAAGAATTTGAAAACAATGTATAATGCAGTGACTATCATCAGTGGATTTAAGCCTTTTGATAGAAATCAAATGTATGTCTTTAAAAAAAAAAAGATGTTTCTATCCTCTTTGATTCTGCATTTATTTTGAAATATCCTTAGGTATACATATGTTTATTTTCACTTAATGCTAACATGGTGGATTTTACCCTTGGTCTAGTTTCAGATTTAGTGATAGATAAGACTGCTATAGTAAGTAGCAGAAACTCTGAAGAAGGGTGATCAGGCCTAGAGTTTAAAAAACATCTGATAACCCCACTAGAGGTAGGTTAAGATTTTTTGTTTTTGTTTTTGACTGTGTAGTTATCAAGGCATCCTGAATATGTAAGCTTTTGATCCCCCTTTCTTTTTTTAATGTGCCCATAGGAAAGTAAGACAAGAGGAAAGTCAAATATATATCCTGTGGAAGTACTTAAGGGTGGTAAATAGTACAGTCTTCAACAAAGCATATTTTCATGTTAAAATTCTCCTTTCCCCTTTGAAGTGTAAAGCTTTCCAGAAGCCCTTTAGGTTTCCTGACATTCTACAGCCAACTTATAAAGTACACTGTAACCTACTATTGAAGGAGTGAAAACGGTCATTACTTCATTAGGACCTTTACGTGAGCATGGTCTCAAGAAAGGATGCTTCCAAGGACTTTAGTCCTTGATGTGCTAATATGGAAAGAAATCATGAAGACCCTGAAACCTGAGGGGTCTCACTTTGTATTTAGAGTAGGCCACTTTGCCATTCACACACATTTCTATGTTGCTTGGCTCTTTGCAACTGTCTTTTCCCAATTAGTCCGAGTTGCCTTAAGTTCACGACACCTTTGTTCCGTTCCACGTTGACAAGCCTTCTTAAAGGCATGCTCTCACAGTTTCTTAAAGGCATGCTCCCACCAGTTTCAGGCTCCTTCCTCTCAGGTCAGCACAGGCACTCCTACACTTACTCTGCCACCACCAGGACTTCCACTACATTCTTCGACTTTTCACATCTTCATCCCATTTTTCAAAGGGAACAAATAAATTAGCGCAACCATCCTATTGGCCCACTGGAATGTTCTCATATTCTTACTTATGTTCTTAAGTTAGCCTTCTCTCTCCCACCCTCAGAAAGGCAGGTGAAAGAAGCAACATTCTAATTTGATGATGAACACAGTGATTCTGAAGTACATTCAGAGAATGAAGGAAACAGGCTGTGTGTCTTCTACATCACTAGGATGTGGATCAACCTTAGAAAAAAGGGGGAAAAAAAGAGCAAGATTATAGTTGTAACATTCTTTAAAATGGTTTTATTATCTACTTCTAATTATATGATGGCTATATGCCAAGTTGCCCAAAGCCTATCATTACTAAGTGCCAGCAGGCTGTTATGTTCTTGGTATTCCATGGCCACAGAACATCTGAAAAATCAATCCATGACACTGTATATGCATGCCATAGATCCATGGAAAATACTGGAAAATGTGCTAATGGATCAGTAATAATCTATGAGCACAGTAAAAACACATTTCTATGTATCCTTTTTTAATTATGAGTTAGCAACAGACACTTGCATGAAAGGAGGACTGCAAATGAATATTTGCAGACAGCATAATAAATGTCTAATTTTCTTTCACTTTGTTTACCTCTGAATAAAGTGGTGGGGGCTGAAACCGGAATTCTTGTATGCAGGCAAACATAGGATAGCACGCTTCTCCCTCACAGTCGGGGGGCTGAGGGTAAGGAGGAACATGTCTAGAGAATTCTTCCTCTGATACCACATCCGCATAATTTGGTGGTGCTAAAACAGTAATGGAGTTAGAGCTAAGAAATTCAAGTAAAACTAATTTATCTCTCTGAACTCTAACAAAGACAAGGAATTTAGCAACACTGAAGATGAAAATAAAGCATTTCCCTCTCATCAGTCTGTTTGTGTGCCAACTGCAATGAAAAAAATTTGATTGTTTTGTTAAATCGTTACTAATATTAATTATATTCTACTCTTTTGAGATGGTTGTGCTATAGTTTAGGCAATTATCCCTGAAATGTGGCTACAAAAAATATATAACACTGTATTTTTATTTTGACTATTTTTTATTGTTTTACTATGACCAATGGATGTACAAGAGATGACCAAGAGATGTACACTTTATCCCTGAGTCTGCCATGAGCAGTTTTGTGTCCTAAACAAAAAAATTAAGATTTCAAGGTCTCTTCCAGGAATTATTTATGATTCTTGAGTAGTGAAAATAATAAGGGTAACTGTAGTAGCAGTATTCATTAACATTTAAGCATTATTATCTCATACATCCTGTCTGTAGCTACTTTCTATGTAAAGCTTCTTTATGAGAGAACTTCAAAATACCTTACCTTCAGGCTGTTCTGGCAGGGTCAGTGTCAACCAGCTCATATCCATGCTGAACTGGCTAGCGCTGGGGTTTCTGCTGCCAAAACCATTATAGGGAATTGTACCAATAACTAAAGGCAGCTCAAGCATCAGTTTTTTAGCACCAGGAATGTGAATGTATACCTAATATTTCAAAATAGAGGAAAAAGGCACAAATCTAACTTAGGCTTAATAGGAGATGGCCTAATTACATTTTTTTTTTCAAGGCAATAAATGCCTTTATCACCAACCACCCCACCCCATTACAAATGTAAGTTGTCCTGACTAAATAAAATAAAGAGCAAACAAAATGAGAAATACACAAAATGCAGTGAGTACCCTCTGACAGGAATCTGGCCTCAGTGTACTTCACTTAAGTTTGCATAGTTTATAATAATAAATAAAGAATATAAGTACATGTTGTCAATGTGACAAGGGCCCCTTAAAGCATCTCAATCCCTTTTAAGTTTCTTTATTAACTTCCTGGGCAGAAGGATTGTGTTTTTTGTAAAAGCAAAGGCCAATCTTCATATATTTCACAATTGGTAGTAATGCTGACATAAAATGACATTTTCCTAAGTATTAAATAAGTAACAATATTCACAGACAGTGACATGGCTCCAGTTATTGCTCTGTCGCAAGTATTTTTAATTTTACAAAGAGCTCTGCTTACGGCTAAGGAATAGTCCACTCTGATAATGCAGCAATCCAGGATGGATGGAGTAACAGGTGGGATTTTGAGAGTTTTCCCGTTCCAAGTGTCAGTGCTCCCGGATGCAATGTGGTTTCCTCGCACATTGGCAACCATGTGACGGACGGTCTTGGTCTTCCCACTAGCCAAATACGTCTGGGTTTGGAAAATAGCTGCTTTGGGAACAATCAGACGAGAAGAACAATTCTCTATTTCTGCATAGATTGGAATAGCTTCTCCTAAAAAAGAGAACAAAAACAGAATGGATTGAAAGACTTCTCAAAAAGTACTCCTTGAAATCAAACTGGGCCACCACCAATTAAAGCTGAAATGTTCTAATATTAATGAACTGAGAAGCCCTGATAGATAAATTGCATTGTAAATATGTGTCACATAAGTGAAAATCCACTGCAGGTTAGGTTGATATTATTTTCTAATTATTGCATTATTTCCTTTTCTGTAGTAAAATGATATTAACAATCTTAAGATAGGTAAATTATCAGTATGCATATAAATTAAGGTAAAAATATAAGTATATAATTTCAGTACTAATGTTAAGTTTAACAGATGACAAACAAACACACTAGTGGTTATCATATTAAATTCCTCCCAACAGGAGAACAAAGCCTTTTAAGGAATTACTAAGGCTAAGGCACAAATAAACAATGGATAGAGTTTTACAACATTACACATCATGCCATAATATTCCATTCCACACTCATTTCCAACAAGCCATAACCTAGGATTAGAGGCTAAATTCACTACAGGAATTAAGCCCTTCACAAATGATAGTTAAAATTTGAATATTACTAACGTTTGCTAATTTTCTATATTCTAGGCCTAAATATTTGTAAATCTCAAACCAGTAAGAAATCAGGATACTAAGAGTACTTTCATATTACAATAGTTCTCTTCTGAGAAACATGACTCTAGACATCCTTTTGCAACAATGATATTGGCACTTTCATACTCTTCTAGTTTTACTCTTTGTTAAAACTAAAGTAATAGGACTGAAGTCAGAAATACCAAGTATTTCTAGAACTTATTCATTCATTTAAAAATGTTTGAACATCAATTTTTATATTAAAAATTATTCTTTGTGATTTAAAATATGATATACTTTGTATATTACAAAACACTACTTAAAATCACGTAAAATTAGCTAGTAAAATGAATAAGTCAATCAGTTGAACTTCCCAACAGGCTGCTTACCATTACAGTATCCCTTTCTTTCAATTTTGGCACTCAGCGAGACTGGACCAGAAGTAAAAAACCAACAGCCAACCATTTTCTCTTGAGTTTTCAATACAGGGGTCTTGAAAATTTAAAATAAAATAACCTTAATTAAATCATTTTAGAGAACTCATAGAACTTAAAATTATCTTTCTTCATAGAATAGTTGTGAAGAAATATCAACCTTTCTTAGTCTCATGTGACATCTTAGATACTAAATCTTATTTCCCTCTTAAGAACACTAGGGTGAATTTTCAGATTCAAATTAGCATGACATCATCTTATTTTACTTTGAAGTTACTGTATTTCTGGGAAATGATATACTAGCCCTTTAAAGAAGCAAAGGCTGTACTATGATACAAAAATTAAACAGAAAGTTATATTCGTTTTGGTATTTACTATGTGAAATAAGCAGTCTTTTCCTCTGTCTCTCTTTTTTTCCCCCATTATTTCAAAATGATTACCCAGCAGAAATTTCAAACGGTCTTGGGGCTTTGTGAAACAGTAATAATGTGACAACATACATATGTTAACAGATCTAAAAAGGTTATTAAACACATTATGTCCCATCATAGTATTTTATTCTATTTTTAAATACCAAGAAAAGTGACACAGGATTTTAAATGTTTAGTTTACAAGCTGCATACACACAAAGCTTTCTGTGAAACCCAAAGTTACTTGCAGTAGTTTTTTTTTTTTTTTTATGGAAAGAACACTAAGGGATAATGAGTGCCTCTTTTTAGCAAAAACAAAATCCCTTTAAGTAATTTGTCATGATGATCATAAAGGCTTTAGAATACTTAACTGCCCTATTCTAAGTTGTTTTTAAAAACTGCAAGACACTTGGCATCACCAAGCGTTTTAAAAAAGTTTAAAGTCATAGCGATAAGCCTGGTCAGTCAGATGCTGGTTCCTTTATGATTTTGGACACAAGAGACCATGCAAACATCCATACTTGTTATCATTTATCCAAAGGTAAAATTAAAGTAAATAGCACTTCTTTTTTGTGTGAAAATAGGAGTTAAACAACTTTTAATTGTTGGGTTTTCCCTTGTTTTTTAAAACACTGGCTAGAAAAATAATACTAAAATACATCTTTGTCACATCAATTCCATGATGGAAAGTTTAAATTATCTCAGTATTTTCTATGAAGTAAAAAATCATTCATTCATATTTAAATTAAGAACCATTAGGTCCTAGTAGCTATCATGAAAGTACAAGGTATAATTTTATATTATTTTGATAATATGGGTTTAGATAAAAGAATCTAGCTCATTAGCTCCCATCTTGCCTATTCTGTTGTTACTTATAGCCTGATCTTTCTTATCAGTCTACAGTATTTCTAGTGATTATTAGAAGTTCAATGCTTTAATGTGGCCAAATCTGTCATAAGGAGATGATAAGTGAAAGGATCTCGGCGGCAGCTGCATGCACTTACTTAATGTTAGAAAATGACATGCAAAATGGAAGGATACATAGCATAATGGCCTGAGCCTCAATAACAGGCTGAGCATGATTAATACTCTTCCATAATTACTGTTCCTCAACCTGCTATTATTGAAGAGTTTAGAATACCACAGTCCTGTGAATGTGGCCGCTCTGGTAAAAGTAACTACACTCTGTATATGCATTATTGTTATTAAGCCTTATTAATGCATTTCAAGCCTGTGTAACTTTTTGGCAAAAGAACCCTGAACAGCAGGGACATAATCAATAGTATTAACACACACAATTTGTAATTTGCCCAACCTAGAATCATATATTTATAGTGAATGCCTATGGGTGACAAGATTGTATTTTCTAAGCCATCAGAGAGTGACAGGACAGACTACTACTAAACTGTTGAAATACAGATACCACTATTGAAAGGAAGGAGGAAAGAGGGAATAGAGGAAGAGAGGAAGGAAGAAGAGGAAAAGGAAGAACTTACCAATAATGCTGGAGTGTTGACATCGACATGACTAACAACCTGGAGTTCTCGTTTTACACTCTGATCTGGTACCTTGGGTCGTTCCAAAACTGCCTTCACACAGTACTGAATGCTTCCATATTTCCCAGTAAATGAGGTCACCAAAGGTCTGAAACAAACCAAGGCATTAATTTATGAGTTTATTTTTCAGTTAACTAACCTGGGAAAAGTACTCTATAAAATGGTGGTTTAGGTTGAAAGAACAAGAGTAAGCAGGCCATCTATGGAGGGGCTGCAGAGGATGAACACACACTTTAGAGCCAGAAGATCCTGATAAGACTCAGACATGGGATGGACACACTGCTAAGAAAATTGCAAACTATCCTGCTTTACTTACTCAGATGGAAGTTGAAAGCGAAATGGAAATTCATGTTTTCCAGGCTGCAATAAAATGATGGCTTCACCTGTAGAAGAGATTATTTTAACAAGGTTAGTACTAGAAAAAGAGCTTCACAACCTAAATCACATTTCCTAAAGAAGGTTTTGCTGGCCATAAGACACAGTAGAGTTCAAAAGTTCATTAAAAAGACTCAGAGAATGAAATGTGTACCAGTTTTTAGCCAGTAAAAATGGTAGTTTAGGTTTAAAAAGTAAGAAGCAGGCCGTCTATGGAGGGACACACACACACACACACACCTTTTTATCTCAGAAAAGACCAATTACACAAGTAATTACCATGAAGTTCTAGAGCTCAGGGCACCAATATACATATGCAGTACACATACACACACACACATATCCTACTGTATTATGTTAACATGAGATACTAATATTAAATTGGACCTAAAATTAATTTAGCAAAAGATAGATTTATTTTTATATATAAAATTCACATTATATTCTTTGGGAAGAGGTGGAAATAGAAATAAAAAATCTTGACAATTATTAATAGTGGGTATAAAATAAAAAAGTCAAACCAACAAGACAAGCCACTAAGCAAGAGTCAGGTATTTACCCTTCAGCTCTAGTGAGATTAACAGGATTTCTTAGCAGTTAACTTGGATTTACCAAGCAAGGACATGACCCCCTCCCCTGCTCTGGATTGCCGGTTTCATTTTATTTCATGTACTGACTGTGAGAAAGCCAAAAATGCAGTGTGTGGGTGGACTGTATAAGACCAGAGACACTGCTGGAGTCTCTGATGAATGTACATAGACAATCTATTAAGAGTTCAGGTCCAAAGTGGACTTGATGGCATCCGTGCTGGTCAGGTGACTTTCCTGAGATATTGTAAACTTTCTCTCATTTCAAGCTCAGATTTAAGGCTGAATTTTTGAAGGACAGGAAATCAGGAGTGAAATGGAATTCTTAAAAAACTTAATTACTAGAGCTTCATGACTTTAAACAATTTACACATTTTAACTGTGTAATTTTAGGAATATATTACTGGCCTGCTAAGTCTTCTAAATCTACCTTCAGTGTTTAATGTGTAATGCATTAGGGAGAAAAAAAGTCACAAGCCCATTTGCATAGTTGTACTTCACAGGTGGGTGACTTGTAGGCAAAGTCAACAATAACCAGTCACAGGGACATGAGATCAGATTAAATGATAGTGATAGGGTGAGTCCCAGGGCTAAGGTGTTCTCACGAACAGCCCTACAGGTCTCAACAGTGTCACAGCAGAGCTGCACTACTGTAAGCAAGGGGAGCTTCTGCACAGTGCAGCTATCCAGTGAAAGGCTCAGGACCCAATTCTCCGGAGAGTACTGGACTATAAATTCTAATCATTAGATTGCAGAGCACGACAAAGTACTTACAAATGTTTAAAAATGTGGGTTTCATATGAGTTCAAAATTTATAGGGCTTATATGCCAGGCACTGTTGATAAAAAGATGAATAACTTCAATTCCTCAGACCAGCAGAAAAGGCACTTGTACACAACTAATTACGAGACAGTGCTAGAGCCTAGAACATCCACACAGGATTATGTAGGCACTGAAGACCTGATGGTGGAATGGAGATGAGTTGGGAAGGGGCTTAGATGAAAGGCATGTCATGAGGAAGCATGACAGGCATGTGGAGAACAGAGTTGGCTAGGATACCAACAGGGAGTGACAAAGAGATGAAGTTCTTCCTTCATAGAGGAAACATATCCACTATTCCCCTTAAAATAAGACTTTCAACTGTCTTAAAACATAATTAAAAACAACAACAAGAGGAAACTGATAAAAATGGGCTATAGTATTTGGAATAAAATCTTTATTTCATTCTCTTTGTTTTTAATGAAAACATTCACAACCATGTACATATTTCTGCTTCTGCTCTCATGGTTCATTACTTCTCTGCCTTACTGAGGACTACAGTGTCACAGGAATTTGTTTAATTTACTAATGGTCTCACAACCAAAGCTCAGAATTAAAGATTTTCATGAGCTGTGGGGTCTAGAAGACCATTAGAGGCAGAGTCTGGGGCTTAAGTTAAGAGGAGGGACTCATGTAAGGTCACACACTGCTATTGAGTGCCCAAGAACTGAAACCTACTGTATGGTTCTATCTTTCAGTATTTGTCAATCAACATATGAAGACAATCACAGTAGTTGGATTTGATTAGTAATTCCAAAGAAATATCTGGAGAGATTCCAGTGTTTGCATTTTCCAGAAATCGAAATTTCTAAAAATCTCTTTTGAAAGACATGTTTTGGAATTAAGTGACCCTGAGAACCTATGACTGTGTCAAGTTGCTTGTTTCTTTCCAGTTATGGATATTAGGGGTGCTCCCCCCACCCCCATCAACTAAAAGAGGCTGATTTAAAAAAATATGTAACTGTTGTTAATATTTGTTATGATACATCACTAAAAAGAGTTGAAGATTTGCAAATTGTTTAGGTTTAGAGACTCAATTCCATTAAAATAAAAAATAAAATTTGACTTATTTTTTTGAATTGAAAAACCATTTGCCAGGCCGGATTTTTACCAAAGCAATTTTCATTTCTAATTTTAGGTTCAATTACTTTTAATTTTCTATCTATTTACTCAGTAGTTATGGGTTCAGGAAGTTTAAGAATTTTGGACAAAACCCAATTTACTTCTCTCTTCCATGGCCTCTTCCCAGTCAGCCATCTTGAAAATCTGTGTTGGCTATAACCACTGGGAGAGGGCCTGCTGGTGATTCTGGAAACTACACTAAAGAAAGAGTGTGAGGGCAGGCAGGAACTGTCATCTACCAGGGCTCTCATTAACCTAAAAGAAAGCTTTGGTTCCAGATATCCTTTACCTATAAATTTGTGCTCACTCAGATTATCAAACACTTTGGAGGATTTAACTGTGGAGGGTCTATTCCATAGTAGGATTAAGACTAAACTGCATTGGATTTTGTGAAAGATATAGCAACATTTAAGAATATAATTATAATGCATTTTACTTGTCAAATTATCTTATTTGATAGCTAAAAGCTGATGAGGCAGAAAGGCAAGAGTTTAAAATAATTTCCTCTGAGGGAAAAAAAAAACAAAACACTAAAGACTCACTTTTAGTATTTTCATAATTAAGGGTATAAATTTTGGTACTTATGAATGCAACATCCATGTAGTAATCCCTGCATGGTGACTTCTAGAAAAGCCTACATTAATTGACTGGATTTCACAAAAGAGAACAGGAGGGGTAATCCAGAAATGCCCAGATGGCAGTCTCCAAAGGCCTTTTGGGAAAGGGGAGAGAGGCAGGAGGAACAGGACGTGAAGGAAACAAAAAAGCGGCAATATCTGATAAAGTCAGAACTCTTAATAAAAAAGTTGCCCCACTCCCCCAAAGATGGAAATCAAGTATGATGATCAGGTCTAGAAACACTTCCTTTGAACCACCTCTCAAGAACTACTTCCCTCTTCCCAAGACTGAGTTTCTGCTAATTCATCATGAACCAAGGAGTGTCTAGGTCCACGATGGGAAGAAGTGGAGGCCCATGAAACACTAGGCATCAGAATGGAACGTTACAGACCCTGATTCCACCCTCCATGCCCACCGCCTTAAGGAACCTAGATCCCTGGATCCTGACAGTCTAATCATAGGTCCCCATGGCAATGACCCACTCCCTTCTGGGTTCTAGAAGATCCTGGGACACCCACCAGGTGTTCGACCACAGCCAGCCAAGAATGAGTCGCCACATAGGGCTATGCTGCAGGGCGCAAGGTCTGATCTCTGGGTTGCTGTGAGGTAGGGGCACAAGCATTGTTACCTGCCCCTCATCTGCGACCCCCACTGGGAAGTCCACCTCTTGAAGCCTGCAACAGGCCCACCTGCCAGGAGGGCACTCTGCCTGCGCGTGATCCTCCAGAGAATGTCCCCTTCCTGGCCCTTACCCTGGGACCCAGGGGCCTGGCGGGGAACCCAGGCAGTAGTGCTCACTCACCGGCCGGGGGCTCACGCAGGCTCAGGCGCACGTTCAGGTACTCCACCTCCGAGGCAGCTGGGGAAGCAGCGCCGCTGGCTGAGATGCGGGCGCTGGCACTCGGGCCCCAGGCGGCGGTGGCACGACCCTGGGCCTCCAGGCGTAGCGCGCTCAGGGCCACCGGTTCGGTCGCCTCCAGCAGCACGTGCCCGGCTACCGTCTCGCCGCTGGAGTAGCAGCCCTTGCGCTCATCTTCGAACACCAGACCCAGGCTTTTCACGCGGCCCTCGGAACCCAAGGCCGCGGTGGACCCCGCCTCTCCACCCATCCCGCCGGCGACGCGGCCCCGCCACTGAGGTCCGGGGAGGCCGGGAGCCGGGGTCCAGAGCAAAGAGGCGCCGCTGTCAAGGGCGCCTGCCACACGCCAAGGGCCACCGCGGCCGCTGTGCGGTGCCGGGTGAAGCACCAGCCCACCGCGGGGCCTGTCTCTTTAACAAACCTAACTGGGACTGGAAAGGGGCCGAGACTGCCCACCCTCGGCGCGCGCCCATAGGCCAGCTGTGAGACCTGCTTCTTGCCAATTGGTTGTAAATGGCCACTGAATCATTTCATTGGCGCCCCCTCGCAAAGGCTAGCTCATGTAGGCAGTGCGTGATCAAGCAGTGTTGACCAATCGACAGACGCAAGAGTGCACGTGCACAGGGCGTTTATTGGCTGGGGCAAAGCACAGTCCCGGCACAGGAACCAATAATAAGGTGGAGCGCCCATGTGGACAGATAGTGGGAAACAATATCTGTCAGGGAGCGGGCAGAACAGGGTATCTCCGGCTTTCGGCGTGTCAGCTGTTCCTATGGTTACATGCGGGGGCGGGGTTTCTGGCTGCGTGGGATCTGTTGTTAAGAGTCACCGGGTTCGCACTAGAACATGAAATTGTGGCTGCAGCAGGATGGTATTTATCATTACATTTGCAACGATCGAGAGAAAGGAAATACATATCCCGGAAAATGGAACTCAGTATTGTTTCCTTTTGAAACTTGGGGGCGGGTCACATCCGAACTTTAATGGACAACCAGGAATTTACCAACCTCCAAGTCCCCGAGCCCCACCTCTCCTGGGTTTCAGAATTCCTAGCATAGGTAAGCGCCAAAGAAAGCTGAAGCTTATGCTTTTAAACCTGATTCCCCTAAGGAGTACTCCCAGGCTGTGGAGCCTCTTTTTAGGCCGGGAATGACTAGAACTCTTATTCTTCCTGTTCTGAAAAGGATCATGAATCAGGTTGTTTTGAAACAGTATCTACCACCTATGTTGCTGTAAATGATTTTTTTTTTTTTTTTTGCGGCTGAATACTATTCCATTTGATCACTGTGAATTATATATATGTTTCAAATTATTATACTGGGCCCTATAAAGATGTACAAATATGTGAGAGAGAGAGAGAGAGAGAGAGAGAGAGAGAGAGAGAGAGAGAGAGAGAAACAAGCATGCATCACCTAAGTTTTGCCCCACCCAAAAGTATTTCCTGACCTCGGTATAATAGTCCATGAAATTTCCAGATTCCTTGATGACTTGCTCCCCCCACGCCCATAGCTTTTCTTGTCTATAATCTGTTTCAGTTTCATCTTTAATCTTCCATTCCTTTTCTCTTCTAAATTTCTATTCCCATCTAGCATCTGGCCATCTGGCTAGCATTCTCTAACCTTTTAAATAATCTCTTTATAAAAATTCCAAGTTTGTGAACTGTTATGGATTGATTCATCACAAATAGAGATTTAAATAGCTTTCTGATGTAGATTATTTTTTTAAAATCCCAAAGTAAACATTGTTCTGATGCCCTCTTTTAAGTTTGGATTATTAATGTGTGATTTAATAAGGTTGTAGGAGTTCAGAGTTTCCTTATCACCTCTCAAAAAATGGTTACTGCCAAAAATCCAGCTCGGCCTAAAGTTCTGAAATAGCTTTTTTTTATTCTCTTACTATTTTGTCTTGTCTAGCCCCCAACATTCTCCTTGCCCTGCTTCTAGTTCTTCATAACACAATCAGATTGTATATGTTTATTTACATATTGTCAGTCACTCCCACTTGAAACACAGAACTTGTTGATTTTTAAATCTCTAGTATCTAACACAGTGCTCAGTATATAATAAAAGCTCATTAAATGTATGTAGACTCATTGATAAATTCCAACCCATGAAGTATTATTGGTTCTTTTAAATAATGTTCTGCCTCTTACTATACTTTCTTGTCTCTATGCAGCTGTTCTCCAACCCTCTCCCGTCAGTATTAACTGGCAGGAAAAGTAGGACAATGACCCTAACAGAATGATGAAATGACAGCACTGCAGACATGGCATTCTGTGCCGAGAAAGACCTGGCTCTCTTTGTTCATTTGTCAGTTCATATGTTTGACTATAGGCAGTAGAAGGTGTCACCAACAATGCTTTAACAATATATTTCTTGTTTACTTGACAGGAAGTTCAGTGGTAACTTCTTGTTGCCTTGTGGTAACCTGGTTGCCTTGAGTTGGACAACCAAGTTTAGAACCATATATGCTTTAAAAAATCTTTTCTCCTGTGCCATAGCCCGATGCTCTTCCAGTGGCAATGGTTACCATAGCTCTAATTAGCTCTTCTTCTCACAGAAGTTGAAATATATAGAGAGTGTCTGCAACAACAACAACAGCAGCAAAGAGGATACTCAGAAAATATATTTATTTCCTGGATGCTCTGACTTCATACATGTCATTGGTCCAAACTGAGTCACATGTGTACCTGTAGGTCATTAAATGGCAAAAAAAAAGTGAGATATTTATGATTTTCTGACTCCATGATTCTTTTCTGGGGGTTGTTAGTATCAGAATTCTGTTAACAAGGAAGAGGGGAAGATAGTTTTTGAGTAGTATGTACCTGAAGCGGTTTGAATAGTTAAATGCATCTGATCAAATTTGCTGTAGAGCAGACCTGCTTCAGATAGGCATTTAAAAGAGTAGTTAAACAGACTAAAAGTATTTTACAACTAGAGAGAAGGTAAATTACATGGTGACTCATCTCAATCAAAACATTCCATTTTTATGTGTATTTATGTTATAAGTTAAGCTAGCATTGATATAGGAGCATATAGGAGGGTTTTTTTTTAATGCAAAATGAAATCTTTGGTGGTTTTATTGATGTACTTAGACCACTTATATAGAATGTAATTTTGTTAAGGTTGGTATACTGATCAGAATGTTTGGGTTGAAATCCTAATTCCCAAGAAATGGCACTAGGAAGTGAGGACTTTGGAGGTGATTAGCTCATGAGTGAGTGGAATTACGCCCTAATAAAATGGCCCCAGAGAAATCTCTTGCCCTTTCCATCATGTGAAGACACAGAAGCCATCATATATGAGGAGATGAACTCTTACCAGATACTAAATCTTCTGGTACCTTGATCCTGGACTTTTCATTTTCTAGAGCTGTGAGAAAAAAAAATATGGTTTATAAGCCATGCTATTTATGGTATTTTGTTATAAAATCCCAGTTGGACTAAGACAATTGGTTTTTATGTGGATCATTTTCATATTTGATTTGATTATGACTTCATTTAAGTATGTGTTTCTCTGTTCTCCCTTTTTTTTTTTTTTCTTTCTATCTGAAATGTCCTGCAAGGATCATGTATTGGAGTCTTGGTCCCCAGTATAGCAATGTTCTGAGGAGTTTTGAGGAAGTGATTGGATCACCAAGGCTCAGCCCTCACAGAGGGATTAATCTATTGATAGGTCCATAATTTGATCACATTATTGGGAAATGGTAGAAACTGTAGGAAGTGGGTTCTTGGGGGTGTGCCCTGGAAGGGCTTATCTTGTCCGACTTCTTTCTTTGTTCTCTCTTTCCTTCTGTTACCCAGCTACTCTGAGGTGATCTGCTTTGCTCCACCATGCTATTCCACCATGATGTTCTGCCTCAAATAGGCCCCAAAACAATGGAGTCAGCCAACCATGAATTGAAGTCTGTGAAATTGTAAGCTAAAATAAACCTTTCCTTCTCTAAGTTGATTTTCTCAGGATTCTGTTCCAGTGATGAAAAGATAACACCTTTATTTTGACTACCTGTAAATCTTTTAGTAATCAGCTTGTTTATACCTAATTTTTTGACCATAATTCTCTATATATTTAGCAGTTAATCTAGGTAATATTATTTCCAATCTATATTTTTAGCAGTTAATCTAGGTAATACTATTTCCAATCTACCTTATAATTGACCTGTGTGTTGTGTTCACATACATTGAAAATTATACCAGATACTTTTTATATTTTTGCTTTTGAGAGTTATTTATATTTGTAAAAACTCAAGAGATAGTTTATTATGATTGTTGGAATATTTATTATTTCTGTGCTCTTTCTTTTTTCCTGAAATTTAAGGTTCCCTCATGACAACATTTCAGTTTGAAGAATTCCAGTTAGTATTTATTTTAGAGAAGGCCTTGTAGCAATGAATTCTGCTAGTTTTCCTTCATCTGAGGTTTTTGTTTTTTTCTTTTGCCCTCACTATTGATGGATATTTTTACTGGATATAGAATTTTGGGTTGTAAGTTCTTTATGGGTATAATCCCACTGTCTTCTGAGAACCTGGATTTCTGGTAAGAAATCAGCAATCCTTCAGATTCTTGTTCCCTTCTTTCTGATGAGTCATTTTTTCTGACTGTTTTTCTTCATCTTTCGTTTTCAGTAGTTTGATTATATTATAAGTGGGTTTGATTTTCTTTGAATTTATACTTTTCAGGGGGTTTCTTTCTGTTCTTATGGATGTAAATATATGTCTTTTATCAAATTTGTGTTTTCTGCAATTATTTCTTCAAATTTTTCTTTCTGTACTAACATTTTTCTCCCCTTTTTTTAGAACTTCAATACTAGAAGGCTAGATCTGTTAAATTTTGCCCCATACATCCCTGAGATTGATTTTTTTCCCCAATTTTTATTCTCTTCATTTTAGAGGTTGAATAAATACTGTTTCAAGTTCATCAACACATTTCTATTCTCCTTGAGACCATTGAATGAATTTTTAATTTCAGATATTATTTTTCAGTTCTAAAAGAATCAGTTTCAATAGTTCCTGTTTCCTTTCTAATGACATTGATCTTTCCATTTATTTTCATAATGTATATTTTTATCCATTGAGCATGATTATAATAATTGTTTAAAGGTCTTTCTAAGAATTTTAGTACATCAGTTATTTCAGGTTGACATCTATTGCTTTTTTCCTCTTTGGAATTTGTCATGTGTGCTGGCTTTTTTTTTTTTTTTTTTTTTTTTTTTTTTTTTGGTTTGGTCTTGTTTTTGTATGTTGAGTGATCTTAGATTTTTTTCCCGGACATTTTGAATCAGATGATTAGCTGGATCCTGTTAAAATCCTTTAGAAAACACCCTCTCTTTTACTTTCACAGGCAGTGGTCTTGGACATATTCAGACTGCAGGTTCTGCCCTTCTGTGGGCAGGGTTCCAATATCAGCTTAGTTCTCAATGCCTTTGCTCTCCTGCTGTGAGTCTGTCTCCACATGAGCAGCTCAGAGGAGTCTGGGACTGATGTCACTTCACACATAGAGTTATGAAATCTCTTTCATTACTTCACTCTCCATTGTTTCCCCCACTCCCTGTGGCACCCAGGATCCCTTTTTTCTAATCCCCTAGACACAAATTTGGTGTTTCTCTTTAGAGGAAGATGCTGCTGAATAGTTTTATGCAATCAGACAAAGCAGTGAAGGGAAAGAGGGGATTCCTCTTTCACTTCAGATTATAGGGTCTTCTTTTCCCACTTCCTCTAACAAGAAAGATAAGTTTTCTCTTTGTGAAAAAGTTTCTCTCTCTCTCTCTCTCTCTCATCGGAAGCTAATATAGCCCAGAACTGAGGCCATTCTCAAAGTATGAATAAATAAATGGGTATAAGAGATGAATCTTTCTCCCCGAAGAATTCCAAATAATTTATATAGATTCTTCTCCCACTCAGCTTGATATGTATTAGACTTAGTGATTTTCTTTCGGCCCAGTGAACACTATTTTAGCCAGGTGATGAAAGTTAGGATCACTAGTGATAAGTTATGTTGATAGTGTGTTCCTCTTATATGATATTATGAAAAGGACTCATTGCCTCTTTAATATTCTTCCTTAAAATCCATAAGTCCAGTAGAAGCACGAGGAAAAATTAGGCAATCCCAATATGAGGGATATTTTTAAAAATATTCATCTAACACTCCTCCAAACTCTCAAGGCCACAGGAAACAAGGGAAGACTGAGGAAGGGTCATAGACCAGAGAAGTTTAAGGAGGCATGATGACAACTTGCAGTGTGTTATCCTGGATTGGATCCTAGAACAGAGAAAGGACTTCAGTGGAAAAACCATTGAATCCAAATAAAGCCTGGAGTTTAGTTAATAACAATGTAAAAATACAAGTTTCTTGGTTTTCTCAAATGGACCTGGTAATGTTAACAGTGGGTGTGAGGAACATTAGAATCTCCATCCTATTTTTGCAGCTTTTCTGTAAATACAGATATTTTCCACAGTAAGCTTTTATTGAAAAAACAAACAAGCAAGCAAACATGGATTGACCTTATTCTCTCTTGCTTTCATGTGCCTCTTTTTCCTGGTTTTCTGGCTGAAGGATATTTCTCTCTGAGTTTCTGCTGTTTGTGCCCTTGCATGGTCCCACAGTGGGAACACCCTTCATTCAAAGCCAGGAAATAAAAGAGGCAAAAACCTTCCATAAAACTTAATCTTGTTATAGCTTGGTCTTCAGTTTTTGATTTTGCCCCCCAAACCACCTCCTATTGCCAGTGCTCAGATCATTTATTTTATTATTATCATCTTCAGAGATTTGTTTTTGATCTTTGGAAGAGATAGGATTCAATGTTCTATTCCATATTGCCCAATACCAGAAGTCCTAATTTCTCTACCTTCATCCTCAGGTCTTACAGATGTAGTTGGATTGCTGCATAACCATCAACACTCAGTCATTATCTCTTTGTATAGTGCAAGCATTCATCTTATTATTGCCTAAGAATTTTTAGCTTGTAAATTTGATATCTGCTTGTGCATACCTAGATCTTAACTAGGGCACTGAACCTATGTTTTTGCTGATGTTTGAAATTCTTTTATGGCCCAAATTTCTGTTTCACAATTGGAGGTAAAATTTTACAAGGCAAATACCTCTAGAAAGGAGAACAAGGACTAACCTTTATGAAACACCTACTAAACTTCAGTCCAGATGTTCAACATATACAATCACATTCAAACTGACAGAAACCCTGTGGAGGTGCATCTTGGGATAGAATGCCAAGATGATTGATAAGGAGCCTAAGGTTCAGACAGATGGGCTGTGTGCCATGTTTCACATTCACAGGTAGGATAAGTTGTAGAGCCAAGATCAAACCCAACTTTTTCACTGCTCTTGCCTCAAGGATAAAGGGGTTAGAAGAAGGAAGGGAAAATATGAAAGAAGGAAGAGGAAGGGAAAAGCTAAACTTATTTTAATAAATAGAATGAAGAGACAGTAACAAATCTCCCTGTACATTCTTTTTCATAGTGTCCTGTATGTGCATTATTTACACTGAGGTGCTGCTGTCTGTGTTAATCATATTCTGGATCACCCTGTGCATCTGTATGCCTAAATATGCCATCCACTGTCTTCCAAAAATGATCTGTGGCAGCTGAGGAGGAAACAACTGAAATAAGCATTTTTACTTGGAGGAAAGTTTGAAAGGAGAAGGATCATGGGGAAGGAGCAACTAAGTAACCAGTGCAACCCCCATAGCCAAAATACAGGTGATAATTTTTGTTTGATTCCCCATTTGATGGGAAGACAGAAGTTAATCTATTCTGAGTAGTAGAAAGGGTCCTGCCTTCTTATTTCATGGTTTACACATGCATAATGTAGTTGTATTGTGATTACAAAAGAATGAGCAGAGAGAGGGAAGAGTTCCCATGAATGAACTAATCGTACATTACATTGCCATTACTAAAACTGTACAAGCAAACACGAAATCAAGACATGCAAGGTAAGTAACAATTAAGGGTCTAAAATAAATATAATTACATCTATATTGAAAGCAGAATCCATGAGAAAAGTTAATCTCTGACCAAACCTTATTTGTTCTACATGATTGCCCTTTAATATCCCTTTCCCTTCATGAGGGTCTGCTCCAATTGAAATTGCCATGTAATAACTGACTCTATTATTGATTTCGCAGAACACCTTCTTGCAAGTATATGTTGCCTGACAAAGAATTCTAATTGAATTATGGAAAAAAATTATCATGAAACTTGTGGAGGCTATAATGGCTTTAAAAAGTCATTTTATGAACTGAGGTCCAAAGAATGAAGACATTCTATTCCAATGGATAGACTCAAGGACAAGAGCCAATGAGCATGTGAGTATGGGTGAGTCCTATGCCTGTGGTTCGGTACCATTCAGACCCTTCCACCACCAGCTCCCTTTCCCCCTGTTCTGAAGCAATATCTGCCATCCACCATTCCCAAATTAGTAATGCATTGGTAAATGCATGTGCATTTAGGAATATATAGGTATCTATTTTTCTATGTTACATAATCTTATATAGTTTTATGCATTTGTCTTATACATACACTGATAATCATATATTACTTGTGGGGTTGTACACTATGTTCTCCTTTACTTCATACTTTCCTATTAATACAAAAAAATCTGTCTCATAGTGGCAGGATTCTATTGTCTGACCACATCATTATTTGTGTAATCATAGCCTCACTGATAGGCATTTAGGTTATTTTAGATTTAGATCCATGAATAGTAATAACATTTAATATCCTTTAAAGGCTATGCCATTTTTAGTGTAAATGGATATAACAAAACTTTTCTTCAAAAAGATTATATCCTTACTAACAGTGCGTGAGATCACTTTAAAATTTCCAATGTTGTGCCTGAATTAGTCAAGGAAATAAGTAAAAGATGGTATTTCATTGTGATTTAAATTTACCTTTTTAGGAATAGGAGGGATTATGAGTGAAGCTGAGCATATTTTCATATGATATATATTTTTTGAAATGGGAACTCATAATTGTTGCTTTTTTCCTTTTTTCTTTTTAAATTGACTTACAGATCTTTTTACAGTGTTCTAGGTATTGAAATTTGGTGTCATATATTATAAATATTTTGCCATATTATACATTTTTGTTTTTTTATCCTAGAGATGCTTTTAATTTAAACTGAATTAAATATAAATTTATTTAATATAAACATTTATTAATCATTTACATTTCAGCTTTATTTTCTAGAAAATCGTAAGAAAGCTTCCCCTTCCCACAATAACACTTTCCCTATATTTTGTTCTAATACTTGTGATTTTTTAAGCCTTCAACTCTTTAATAATCTGAGCAACTTGTGAAGAAAATATTTAATGATCTCCCCCAAATTGCTAATTCCTGCAATATAATTTATTGAATAATTTTCCTTTACCCATTGAATGAAACATTAATTTTTATTATGTGATAAGTTGATACAGATCTGTCAGTGTGTTTTTTGTTTTGTTTTGTTTTGGTACTGAGGATTGAATTCAGGGGCAATTTGCCACTGAGATATATTCCAAACCCTTTTTTTATTTTTTATTTTGAGACAGGGTCTTACTGAGCTAAGTTGCTGAGGCTGGCCTTGAACTTGCAATCTTCATACCTCAGTCGTCCAAGCCACTGGAATTACAGGCATGCACCATCACACCTGGCTTATCAGTGTGTTTTAAAATTATTTTATACTGATATATTCTCTATTCCTGAACCAAAACAACATTTGTGTTTATTTCAGCTTTTTCTATAGTATATTCTGATAACTAGGAGGGCAAATGTTACCGCATCTCTGATCTTTAAACATTTTATTTCTTCCAGACAAATTTTAGGACTATCTTGTCAGGTTTTAATCAAAAATTTTGTTGTTTGATTGAAATAGCATTAGAAAATCACTGAATTTATCTATTACATTGTGAAGAATGAATATTTTTAAATATTGAATTTTTTTTCCATCCAGGCACTTATATATATATTCTTCAATAGAATTTTTATCTCTTTCTTAATGTAAGTCACACATTTCTGATAAAGTTTATTTTATAACTTTCCCCCATTATTTTGAGTTGAATGGGAATTTTTTCATAGACATTTTTGAATTGATTATTGCTATGCAGAGGAGAAACATTGCCTTTTGCATCTGAATCCTGTCCTTGGCCCTTGGTGGACTCCATCTATTAGAATACAGGGCTTGGATATAAAGCTTCCTAAGGTTTTCTTTGTGGGTCAAGTAGATCATAGGCTCATGGGGAAAATAAGATATCAAAGTGTTAAAATGACACATTCACCCACAGCTTGTAATTATAATGTCCCTGTGTCTTTGAACCCTTGGGCTAGACAGAGAAGCCTGTGTTACATATACGATGATGGAATGGTTGGCCTTTTGCATCAGCTACAGGGCTGCACGTCACTGTTGAGTGGAGTTTATTGTGTGAAGTTCATCGTTAGGTGGAGAGAAGGTCTCCGCTGCAGATGAAGGGCACAGAGTCAGTGAAAAGAACAGGAGTTTCAGTTCCTAGGTTTAAACCTTACTTCCAACACTTGCTGTGTGAGTCTGAGGAAGAGATTTTCACTAGGACTCAGATGCTAATGCTTTTCTCATTGTGTGTCTATCATGTTAAACGGAATATGGCATGGAAGATGTCTCTGATACAGTAAGTGTCCATTACATGGAGGCCTTTGCTGTTGTTGGGAAGAGGATGTTGGTGGAGGTGGACTTTGTGTCTGACAGGCTGGTTTTGAAGTTCTAGCTCTGCCATTTCCTAATGCTATTTGGACTCTTCAAGCTACTTGTACTCTTCAAGCCTCAATTTCCTCAAGGTTGGACTGAAGATAATTTAAGGATTAAGTGAGAATGTGAACATGCATGCTTCACAAATTATGATATTTCATGTAACTGGCTGGTGGTCATGTTATTTCTGGAAATCTCCCTTCTTTCTGTAGACAAAAAAATATATGTTCTCATTGAGATATAAAGAAGATGTGTCTCTCATTGAAACCACATTTTTAAATCAAAATATATAAAGTGAGCTTCAGGTATCATTTATGTTTCATAAAAAAAACATCTCATGGGCTAGGGATATAGCTCAGTTGGAAGAGTGCCTGCCTGGCATGCACAAGGCCCTGGGTTCAATCCCCAGCACCACAAAAAACAAACAAAAAACAAAAAACATTTCAGGATTTTAGTTACTTGATTTGTATGTGTTTTAAAGATGTTCTCCTACTATTTTCCAGGTAATTATCCAGGCCATTCTTTCAAAACCAAGTTTTGTCATGAAACTGAGTACCATAGAATTCTGCTTTTCTGAGACATGATGAGACTTCTTGCTTCAAGCAATGGTATCATAGATTACTTAGGAAAAGTGAGAGCATTGCCGTAATGTTGGGTCCAATATTCTTCTGCTTTCTAGCTGGGTAGAAATCATCTTTTTTATTTATTCATTGAATTTAGGCATAGCAGGGAGGCACTTGAAAAATTGTTAATGATTAAAATTACTTATCATAAATTTGAGTCTGAGGGATACCTTCTTTAAAATTGGACACACTGGGCTGTACTGTAAGAAGAAACATTTTATTGAAGCAATTTTATTGCCAACACACTTTTTTCAAAGTATCATATCCAAATGCAGATGGGTTTTTCAACCAAGAAGTGGCTGATCTGAACATTCTAGAAGACAGACATTAACCATTCACCAAACTGTGCCAACCATCCTTGAAAAAAAACACATTTCATAAAGAAGCCATTAAATGTAATTAACTGTTTTCTGAACCCAGCTTTAAGACTTCCAGTTAAACAATTTGTTGAATTTGTTGCCATATCTATGAACTTTAAATCTATTGCTCAGTGATTTTCAAAGAAGTAAGTTCTTTAAAGGTTAACTGGAAAAATGCCTGTGGAAACAGGGTGCACACACAGATCAGAGGTGGAGTTATCAGCAGGCATACTTGTGATATTAATCCCAATTTACTTAATATCAGGTGACTCACCTGAAGTGTCTGATCACAAGAGATGAATGGTATTGTGAGAGAGTCAGTGGGCATTTCTCCAACCTGCTCATGAAGGACCTTTGTCCATGTTGGAGGGAAGCAGAGGCAAAGTTCACAGCTTATCCACAGGTGTTAGTTACAACTGGGGTCTATTATTCTTTGTCTAGGGTTTATGGTTAAACCAGGTTTGTGCCTGAGTAAAAAAATATACAAATACAAGATGTGCCACATTCTCATTTCCCAGGCTTGTCTTGCCAGCTTCTCAGCCAGAGGAGGTACCTAGGAGGAAGGAGAAGGGGAAGGCAGAACTATGATATTGCTTAGGCGATCTCAAACTGGGCTGTACTTTACCTGGGGAAATTTTAAAATACAGATGCTTGGGGTTTCCAGATAATTCCAGTGTACACTGTGAGTGAAGAAAATGGCTTTGGACACTCATCATCCAAAAGATGAGTTAGTTTTCAACTTCTTAAATGCAATCTGGTAACCCTTGTTTATTTAGAAACAATGGTAGGGTCACGTTTAAAGTTGTAGTTTCAAAGAAATAAATATGCAGGAGAGGTGCCAGGTGTGAGTTATTAACTTGTGATCTATGAAATAATTTGCCAGGTTTTGAGGATATGTGAATTGGGACGGGGTGAGGAGGAAAAAAGGTTCATCCCTTTCAAAGATAATGGAAGGAAGCCACAAGGAGCAAATCTTTTAGGAATCCACTGAATGAACATCAATCTGTACAAATTTATGCCTACACTAAGGCACACACTCAGTTTTTAAGAAAGAACATCTCTAAGTCATGGAGGGGTAGCCCTGAGTGTTTCCTCAAACCTGTATCTTTTCCTGTGCCTGCACCTTGTACTTCCTCTAGTCAACAGTTCCTGGTTCCCGGGGGACTAGAGCAGCTCCCACCTACCATTCTGACTTAAAGAAAGTCACCTTTCCTTGTGCACCTTAGCACAGTGGAATGTGTTTGATCTTCTCTAAAGCATAAATTAGGAAGTAAAACTAATACAATCGCAAACAATGAAGGAAACAATGACAAAACAGGTCATGGGAGTTAAGGGTGACATGCAGTGTCTTCATCCAGTGCTCATACTCTGAGTTTCTCTTTCACTTCCCAGATAGCTTGTCTGCTTTCCTCTCTTCCAGCCCTCCATCTTCTCTGGCTAAGATGGTCTTAGTTTTGGTGACCTGGGGATTTTCTCATGAATCAAAAGACTCTGGCTGACTCTTAAGAAACGCTTACTATTATTTCTTCATACCTTCAGTACCAATTTTTAATCCCTTAAAAGGGATTAAAACCATGATTGGTGAATAGGTCTGGACTCTGATGTTAAATGCCACCAATGGATAA